CAGTCTGGGCAACAGAGTGAGACTCCAACTCAAAAAAAAAAAAAAAAATACCCCAGTTCTTCCACCCCTCAGACAAGGTAACTGACATACATGTCCTACACTGCTCCCCAGGGGTCCTTACTAGACTAAGCTCAAGGAACGCAGGGAAATAGAGAGGGAGCCCAGAAAAGGAGACTGGAAAGGCTAGTATCTCCATTCCTATACAAAAAAAGAAAAAAAGAGAGTGCTCTATAGTTTTCTAGAAGGAGAAAATAGTCTACCTCTCCCATATCAGGAAAGACAAAAGAAGGACAAGTCATGTCATAGAAAGTGTCTGGAAAAAGTTGAAGTCTGTATGCCTAAAAAGTAGGTAGGTCATCTCTACCTTAAAGCCCAAACCGTGGCAGATGGCCCTGATTACTGGTACTATTAGCATCTTAGAGCCCTCATAGTAATTTCTTATGGGTCATCATGCTTCTAAAGTAAATTCCAGTTTGTCGATTATAATTGACAATTAAAAAACATTCATAATTGTACTGTTCTTTGGTGCTCCCAATAATACTAAGCCAATGTACAAATACAAACCCAGTTTTCTACAGTTCCAAACAGAAAGTAGAGTAGCTTCTAGTCTATTACTATTATTCAGCTGTGGTTCTTGTCCTAAGCTCTGGAAGCGATGCACTGCCATGCCTAGCCCAGGACAGTGGGTGGTCAAAACAAATCTCCCAAATAGGACTTGCTTCAATTTGAGACTCAAGACTAGAGCATTCTCTGACTCCTAGAGACCAAATCCTCTGGAGAACCTAAACTCACTTAACACCTTTCTCTTTAACAGTTATCTTCCCTGGGCTTTGATTTTTATCATCGGCTAAAGTGAGTCAAGGGAATAAATAAGCAGCTGAAGGAAAGGAATCAGGGTTGTCCCTGAAAGGAACAGCAGCATCACCAAGGAATAGGCCATTCATACAGCATCATCTGAGCCTACTTCATTCCTCTTGATTCTCAGAGTTTGATGTAGTCCTATGCACATAATCTTAATGAATATGCTATGTGTGTGTATATATATGTGTGTGTAAGAGTACGAGTCTTTGAACAATTATAATACTATAAGAAAGTGACCAGCAGTAATGGGAAACTGTCAGGGGAGGCGGGGTGGGATGGGCAGTTGAGGAAAACTGCTAGGGGAGGGAGGGGCATACCTCATCAACAAGGGTACCTGCATAATCAATGTTTGTATACCTAACCCTAAACTGTACCCCTTTATAATAAAAAAAAAAGAATACGGATCTCACTTTGTCACCCAGGCTGAAGTGCAATGGCACAATTACAGCTCACCACAGCCTCCATCTTCTGGCCTCAGGTGATCCTTCTTCCCCTCAACCTCCGAGTAGCTGGGACTACAGGCCCACCTACACCCGGTTTATTTTTTTTAATTTTGTAGAGGCAGGCTCTCACTATGTTGTCCAGGCTGGTCTCAGACTCCTGGGTTCAAGCAATCCTCCCACCTCGGCCTCTCAAAGTGCAGGATTACAGATGTGAGACACTGCACTCAGTCAGAATTGCAGTTGATAAATACATGCAGAAGTAAATTGTTCTTCCAGGATTCTGGTGTGCAGGGCTCGAGGTGATAAAACATAAAACATGCTGTGAAACAATGAGCCAAAGGCACACATAGTGCTGTTCAATATGTGTGACTGATTGGCACCAAATTAGCTACCCACAGCCATGGTGGTTTTCAAAGAACCACAGATCCCTAGCTCCCAAAAATGGAGTGCTGAGGGACCAAAAGAGGTTCTGCCCAGAGCCGAGAACAACCTTGTGAAATCCTAGAATCTTAAAGAATTGAGAGAGCAGGATAAACTAAGAAAGAGATGCCAGGATTTCCTCCTATCAAATATGAGAATGCTACCATGTTTAATTAGGATGCTGGGAATCATTCTAACTGGTTTCCTTTTTTTTTTTTTTTTTTTAAGTTGGAGTCTCACTCCATCCCCCAGGCTGGGGTGCAGTGCCACGCTCATGGAAACCCCAGCATCAATCTGCTGGGCTCCAGTGATCCTTCCGCCTCAGCCTTCCAAGTAGCCAGAACTACAGGCGCATGCTACCATGCCTGGCTAATTTTTGATTTATTGTGGAGACGTGGTCTCACCAAGTTGCCTGGACTGGTCTCAAACCCATAGGCTCAGGCAATCCACTCGCTTTGGCCTCCCAAAGTGCTGGGATTACAGTCTGAGCCACCGAGCCTGGCCTTAATTGGATTCTAAGATTACCTGACTCTATGGTTTTTGAGAAGGCCTAACTAAGGGTGTTATTGAGGACTCAACAGGCCTGTGTCAAAATTGTTTAACCTCTAAAGACAACACCTCAGGAATAGCACCATTTCAGAAAACAAGTCAGCTTCAAAAAGTCTTTCCTACCCTTTCTTCAAGTGCAATTTAATAGCTCTACCCATTTTTTCCCATCAACCTGATTCGCACTCCTTTCATTTGAAATAGTCAATCAGAATCTATAAAAAGAAGAGACAGCCAGGCTCGGTGGCTCAGCCTGTAATCCCAGTGCTTTGGGAGGCTGAGGTGAGTGGATTGCCTGAGTCCACGGGTTTAAGACCCGCCTGGACAACTTGGTGAGACCTCATCTCTACAATAAATCAAAAATTACCTGGGCGCGGTAGCACGCGCCTGTAGTTCTGGCTACTTGGAAGGATGAGGTGGAAGGATCACCGGAGCCCAGCAGGTCGAGGCTGCAGTGGCCGGGAGCAGCCACTGCACTCCAGTCTGGGTGACAGAGTGAGACTCCAATTCAAAAAAAAAAAAAAAAAGAGAGAGAGAAGAGACAATGTGGTGAGGCTCTAATACATCACCTGAGGATTTCTGGGAGTCTAAGAAGGAAAAATGAACATTCAGGTAGGGCTCAGATGGTGCATAGGTGAAGGCATGGGACATTTTTGGTACTCTGTTCCTGGGTAAGGGACAATGGCTGAGGAGGCAACGATAGTCTAAAAATAGCACCTTCTCTGATACCCACTGAGATGAGGAAGTCAAAACACAACAACACCAGGATATCTCTTGAGGACAAGTGAATACAATGAGCAAGCCTGGGTCCAGACAAATCTTTAGCTGAAATGAAGTTTGCTGTCATTGTCTGCTATCTCCTTTCCATGTCTGAAAACTGAAAGCAAACTGAAAACAAATTGAAAACAAACTGAAGTCTGTTTAAACTTCAGTCACCCAAAGAGCCATCACTCAACTCACTGTTGATAGAGGCTTAAAAGCCACCAACATCATGATGTGCCTCTTATATAATTAATTTCCTCTGCTCCACACATTTTCTAACTACTTCCACATATAAATACTTACCTGTCCTAGGCCCGTTTCTCACAGATTCCTTAGAGGGGACTAATTTAATGACTAGGCAACCTGGCATACAACTTGCTAGTAAACTTTTAGTGACTGGATACGGCCTGTTAAACTCACTTGATCTTACACCTTTCTAATGCTTTCACCTTTGGTACCATAAATTTGGTACTGTCCACATTTCTTTACTACACATCCCCAAACAAGCTGGATTATTTATTTATAGATGACTTAAGTCATTGTTGCTCATTATATAGCCTGTGTACTGCCTATGTAAATATATCTTGGGGCAGAGGGTGCTTGTTAAAGATGCATATCCCAGGCTGGGTGTTGTGGCTCACACTTGTAATCTCAGCACTTTGGGAGGCCAAGGCAGGAAGACTGCTTGAGCCCCAGAGTTTGAGGCCAGCCTGGGAAACACAGCGAGATCCTGTCGCTACAAAAAAATAAAAATAAATAAGGCTGGTGTGGAGGCGCTTGCCTGTAGTCCCAGCTACTTGGGAGGCTGAGGTGGAAGGATCAATTGAGCCCAGGAGTTAGAGGCTGTAGTGAGCCATGATCCTGCCCCAGCACTCCAGTCTGGGTGACAGAGTGAGACCCCAACAAGAAAGGAAGGAAGGAGGGAGGGAAGGAAGGAAGGAAGGAAATGAAGAAAGAAGAGAAGGAAGGAAGGAAGAAAGAAAATGCATATCCCCAGGCTTTAGCCAAGACCTAACAAACCAGATTCTCTGGGGGCATCTTTAACATGCTCCCTGTTCATTCTTCTTCCACTAAATCAGTAAACATCATGTGACATCTACACACAGTAATGTACTGTACAGATGCTGAGTGTAATGGTAGAAGTGAGAATCTCAAATACAGTGAACACCTGTTAGTACCTTATAAAACAAATTCATTTCCAGATAGTAAAATGATTAAAAAATTAGGCAGGTTGGGGCAGAGGATATAGGGGAAAGCTCTATACCTTCCCCTCAGTTTTTCTGAGCCTGAAACTGCTCTTAAAAATGAAGTCTTTTTTTAAAAGCTGGCTTACCTAAGATAAATCAGGTGAATGTGTGCCTCTCTGGCTCTCCTTTTCTTGCTACACAGGCCACCTTCCTTCTATCATCTACTTATCCTAGCCTAGTCTTCTCTGTAAAGCCCTAAACTCCTGTGCCAGAGTCAATAACTTCCTGCTCAGGGTTCTCATGATTCAATGTACATACTGATTATAACAATAGTAGAAACTGACCCCCTACAGTGTGACAACTATTCTCTTACTTGGTTCTGGTGAATCTCAAATGCCATGGCTTGTTCACTGTCATATTCCCTTCCCCCAGAACACTATATAAAATTTTATAGGTATACAATAGGATTTGCTGAATAACTGAATGCCTGGATGGTATTGCCACTGAGATTGACATCAGATGAAGTGTGTTGGGAGAACAGATGAATAAGATGGATGACCCTCTCCTTTTACATACGCAGATATTCTGCTAGAGTCACCATTCCTCCTCTCTGAGGCATGAGGATCAAGGTACTCGTTTGTTGAATCTGTTACTGTGGCCAATAATCTGAATTGATAAGTTAATGACTTCTGTTCCCTATTAGACAAAAGAAGCAACGGACACAGCCATCTGAAGGATGCGGCAATAGCATCTAGGAGGAAAACAGAAGCCACACTAGGTATTTCAACCAGAGGGGATTTAATGCAGGGAGCTGATTACACAGGTTTGGTGAGGTTGAAAGAGAGCCGTTGGGATAGCCTGGATGTTAGTAAATACAGGAAGCAGCTACTAACCTTAGGACTGGGGGAACAAAAGGGAAGAGATGGTGTTACCAGAACCTAGAAGCTTTGATGGGAGACCCCCCACGGCTGGCGCCTGGCCCTCTGAGGGGGCTGCTGCGCGGCTGTTGCTTGGCCTTCTGAGGGGGGCGCTGCTTGGCCGGCGGTGGTCGGGCCTCGGGGCGGGGGCGTGGCTGACGCTCAGACCTCGGAGGAGGGGACCGTGGCTTGGCTGGTGCTCTGACCACCGCGGGGGGCGCAGCTGGCTGTTGCTTGGGCCTCTGAGGGGACGTTGCACGGCGGCTGGTTCTGAGAGGGCCAAAAGAAGCTGGAAGCTGGAGCCATGGCTCTCCTCTGCGGCTTAAGGGAGGCCGGCAGGAACTGGAAACGGGGAAGAAGGTCCTGCTCCCCCTCCCACCTTCCAGTCTCCCCGGAGTGCCTTGCCGTGTCGGAACCAAACCGGGAGGCGGCAGTCAGGGGACTCGGGGGAGAGCGGCTTGCGGAGCCCCGCGGCCCCAGCCTCGCGGAGCCGCGAGCCCGGAGACTGGCGCCAGCGCCCCGCCCAGTGCCGCGGGGGCGGTGCGGCCACTCACCTGGTCTTCTGGCAGGCGCAGCAGATCCAGTCCTCCTCCTTCTTCTGGTAGAAGCAGCCGCTCTTGCAGATGCTGTACTTCCGATCCACGATCTCCCGCTTGGAGTTGAGGAAGGTGAAGGGCGGGCAGCAGTGTATGCTGAAGTGCTCGGAGAACCTCTGGTTTTTGGAGAGCCTGGGACCCTCCTTCCCCGTTTTCTGACTCATCTCACTGGAAATCGTCGATGCAGGGAGACAGGGAGAGACACAGCGCACATCAGGCAAGCGAGCTCTGCGCGCGGGAAGCCCACTCCCTGCTCTCCCATAGTCCAAAGACCTGCCAGATCAATGTCCTGCCCAACCCTATGAAAAGGAACTCAGTTTTGAGAGTCCGTTCATTTTTATTTGTGTATTTTTCGAATTGCGTTTTCTAAGAGAAAGAGGAACATGGACTTTTGTTTTCCTTGTGTTTTAGAGACCTCCCTATAGGATAGGGAAAATATTTAAAACCAAACATATTCTGGGCTAAATGATATCCTAGATTTAGGAGAGAACTTTTTCTAAAAAGACAAACCAGAAAACGTTTATTATGAAAACCATAATCAACACTCATACAAAAACAAAAACAAAACAAAACTACACGGCAAGGAAAAACAACAAACTACTGATACACACATCATGTTTGAATCTCACAGATACAGTATTTGAACCAAAAAAGTCAGACATAAAAGAATGCAAACTGTATGATTCATTTTATATGAGATTCAAAAACAGGTAAAACTGCTCAGTGTAGTGACTCACATCTGTAATGCCAGCACTTTGGAAGCCTGAGGCAGAAGATTTACCGGAGTGGAGGAATTCAGGACCAGCCTAGACAACATAATGAGACCTCATTGCTACAAATTAGTAGCTGAGTGTGGGGCATTCACCTGTAGTCCCAGCTAGTTAGGAGGCTGAAGTAGAAGGATCCCCTGAGCCCAGGAGATCATGGCTGTGCCACTGTACTCCAGCCTGGGCAACAGAGAGAGATTCTGACAAAAAGCAATCAGGCAAAACTAATCTGTACTAATCTATGGTGCTAGTCAGAGCATAGTTATATTTAGAGAAGGTGGGGCCTGACTAAGAAGGGGCAAGATGGATGGCACCTGCTGTAGGACTGAAAATGTTTCTTTCAGACAAACGCAGAAATAGTCCTACCTAACACTTTGAAACGCTGAAGCCCACGGGGGACTTACATGACTACTAATCAACAAAGGTCAACAAATATGCATGGGTGATTGGGCAGATACTGGGTACTGAGACTGTTTCCGCTCTCAACAAACTCAAGGTCAAGTTGGAGACACAGATGCGCGCAGTACAGTATGTAATTACAAAACAGTGCTATATTGACCAATAGAAGTATCTACAAAAGTCAAGGAGAAGAGATGGATTCCTTGAAGATGGAACATATGATCTGGGTTATTAGGGTGAATACATTAAAAATGAAATTACATTAAGGGAATATTTCAATTGTTTTGTTTGCTGATATGGTTGTCTTCCTCCTCAAGTAGAAATAAGAGCTGAGAAGCAAGTAGAGAGAAGTTGCAAGTACATTTTTTTGGCACCTCAGTTTGTGATAGTCCAAGTGATGTGTTACATCTGTTATGTATGTTACAAATGTTCTTTCCCAATTTGCAAAAATGATTTTTTATGTAGTTAAAATTTTAATTCATATTCAGTGTTTTATATTTTGCTTAAGAAGGTCTTCCCCACTCTGTCAGCTTTTAAACATACTCTTGTATGCCTCATTTTAAAAGAAAATCCTCTCTGGATCCCACTCCCACATCTACTTACCTCCCTATTATTCTCCTCCTTTCTATAATTCTATAATTTCTGTTTGAAAAATTATCATAATTTTTTCCTTCATTTTTATATTTCTCACTCACTTCTCAATGCACTCCACCCCGGCTCCTATTCCTTTCCTCCCAAGGAAAAATGACACTCCATAGCTCCCCGGAGAACTCCATGCTGCTAAACCAGTTGTCTTCTTATTTGGTCCCTCTCTCTATTTAAACGCTTTTCTTTCTTATGATATTATATTCTGTAAGATCTAGTTCCTTCTTCTCAATTTCTTTCATAGGCTCATCTGCTTTAGCCAAAACTTTTATTTTTTTAATCCAAAACTTTTCATGTTAGAGTTCTTCAAAGTACTATAAAAGCTAAATGATTAATGAAGTTAACTTCATCCCTTTAATTCAACATTTACTGCATACTTAGGCTGTTCCAGGCACAGTTCTCAGTTGCAATGGTGAACACAAAGCTGAATCATGCTTAGTCCAGTCCACCAGCTGAAAATGTGGCCAGTATGTGGCTAGAATACACATAATATCCCAATGGTCACAAAACTCATTTATTGAGCCCAAATAAGTACAAGTCACTGAGGTGAGCAAGGGGGTGAATCTTAAACATCCAGTTCCCTCATTGTGGGTAGAGGAATGTTACACCAGTGCAATCTAAAGGAGGTGAGGGCAATACAAGGGCAGCATGCTCTGGACCAAGAGAACATGATGCTAAAATGGCCTGGGAGGACCACAGGGGCAGGGACTATTTGTTGAAATGAAGGGCCAGATAAAACTTTGTGGGCAAAAACATTTCATCTGAACCTAAGATTTAGCAGCCAGATATAAGAGCTTATGAAAGAATGGGAATGACTAATAACTAAGCAAATATACACAGGGGTAAATTATAGTACTCCTAAGAGCCCTCACCTTCTTGGCAGTGCAGAGTGTGAGAGAGGGAATGGTGCCAGGGTATAGGGGATGAGGTAGGACAAGAGTTACCTGCTACTGGGTAGTGTCTGACCCTAGGGACTGGGAACATAGTCATGCCACCAATTGATCAGAGGTCTAAACAGATGAGAGGGAGGGACATCATATCATTGATCTAGGATACCATGAATTTAAAGTGCCCATGACATCCAGGAGGAAACGCACATCCAAAACTTAGGAGTTAGAGCAGTCATCCTGGGCGTCCTTCACATCAAGGAAGGAGGCACAACCTTGAGCATGGAAGAGATGCCTATTATGTGGTGAGTAGCCAGGCAAAGGAAGACTCCCAAAAGAAGTAATGGACCTACTACCTTTAAGCTACAAGAGGAAGGATCAGTGGAGGTATTCAGAGAGATAGATGAATAGCAGCCTTTTAGACGAAAACTTCCAAATTTTGCTAATCAGAGGTATCCAAAGAAGCATTTGTAGACCACTGAGAAACTACAGCTGACTCACAGGGTCTGATTCATGGAAAAGACCCTGAAGATCTGCCAAGCCCCTCCCCAAGTCCCACAAGGTTGCTAAGTTTAGCTAGAGTTTCTCCTCCTGTAGGAAGTAATGAAATGAGACACTTCAGGACTAACCAGCAGGAATGATTTCTTCAGGTACCGGCACATGAAGGTTATGTTACTTAACTTTTCACAAGCAACCCAGACATCCCCAATTCCTCTAACCTTGTGGGCATCTTTTCCAAATGGCTCAGATATCCATTACAAATAACAGAACATCAAACACTTGTCCCAACTTTCTTTTATTTCACTGAATTGCATTTTAGTTGTGGAGTGCATGTGAGAATTTACTACATAAGTAAGTTATGTGCAGGTGAAGTTTGGACTTACAGTGTTGCACCAACATTTTTTAAAAACCACTGGCATGGGGTAGGAGGGAGATATTAAGTCAGCTATGACTCTGAATTCCTGCTCTGTCTGAACTCTCAATTCTCACTCACTACTCTAGCTAACGTGATGCCTGGGCTCACTCTATGACCATCCAGACACCTGCTCAGCCATGTGGTTCCTCTACGTGTGGGGGGGAGAGGAGTTCTATTTCTTATTCTGTGACAATTTCCCTCACTCACCACCTTCCCCCATCATTTCCAGCAGGGGGCAGTCTCACCTCTTGTTATCCATTAATACATAGTACTAAAGGAAAAAGTAATTCTCTTCCCTGGAAGAAGAACCCAGCCATTGTCCTAAGTCAACCACCAGAAAATTCATCCATCTATCAAAATAAAATTTTTTTCCTCTCCTTGGTAAAATGTTTGCATTGTACGGAAAGACTATGGCCTACTAACTCCCCTCATAATAGAAATGTAGCATTTAGTTGGGGTACATGGTTGACTAGTACTACACACTGCCTCCCCAGCTGTTTGCCCCACACCACCCTCCAATTTGGAAATGCTAATCTTCACAGGTTAAATGCTGCAATATACACAAGAGTCAAACTTTCCCAACACACCAGAATTACGAATAAATGAGTTGGAAATACAAGCTCTTAAATCATTTTAGCCTAAAGCTGCTTTTTTTTTTTTTTTACATACTTTAAATTTGGCCTAAAGGTCTCCCTACATAGTGAACTGTAATCTAACTGGATGTGTGAACAGACTGTAACTTACTCTTTTAGCAACCACAGAGTTTTGCCCAATGACAGGTGGCTAATTGTTCAAACTGTTCAAATGAGGTAAATGCCAAGCTGTAACCAATCCAACTTTTTCTGTACCTCATTTCTGGTTTCTGTTCATAAATGTGGCAGCCTTAGAGTCACTCTGAACCTATTCTGGCTCTGGGGGGCTGCCTGATTCGTGAATTATTTGCTCAATTAAACTCTGTTAAGTTTAATTTGTCTAAAGTTATTCTTTTAGTGAGACAAATAACTAAGGCAAAGAAAAGAAGTAACATTTACTGAGCACCTATTGTATGGTGGTTGTTTTACATACGTTATTTTGTTTTGTTTTTGTTTTTGTTTTTGTTGATTGGAGTCTCACTCTGTCACCCAGACTGGAGTGCAGTGGCCTCTCCCAGCCACCACAGCCTGGACCTGCTGGGCTCCGGCAATCCTTCCGCCTCTTGGCATTATGATCAACGAACTAAAGATGACAGAGTCTAGCCGGGCCTGGTGGTTCAGCCTGTAATCCCACGCTTTGGGAGGCTGAGGTGAGTGGGTTGCCTGAGGCCGCGGGTTCGAGACCCGCCTGGGCAACTTGGCGAGACCTCGTCTCTAAAATAAATCAAAAACCAGTCAGGCGTGATAGTGCGCACCTGTAGTTCCAGTTACTCAGAAGGCTGAGGCGGAAGGATCGCCGGAGCCCGGCAGGTCGAGGCTGCGGTGGCCGGGAGTGGCCACTGTACTCCAGTCTGGGCAACAGAGTGAGACTCCAACTCAAAAAAAAACTATGACAGAGTCTAAGGAATATGACCGAGTTCAT